CCCCAAAACCCCAAAACCCCAAAACCCCAAAACCCCAAAAGGAAGGTAGAGAATTGATTTTAAACTAATTTATACATATGTTTTGGCAGACTCCCCAGCAAATTTCAAACCAAGATCTTAATCAAATGCTTGATGATTTGGAATTACCTAAAAGCTCTTCTCTTGAAGCGGCTATCCAATTACCTGTTGTTTTTAAAAGAGATAAAAATCAAGAATTTATGGCTCAGCTCTGTATCCCTGACGTGTTTACCAGCCAATCGCTTCTGCTGGCGGATAATAATTTTAGCCAGATCTGCAACTATAATATTTCAGAAGAGGAAATTGCCAGCTCGAAACTAAATAAGAATAAATCAAAGAGACCTCAAACGATTTTTATACAAAAATCTCACAGTGGTAGTAAAAATTTACTGTATAAAAATCAGGACGATGACCTTGATCTTTTTATTAACGAATCTTCTTTCTCATTGATTCCTGAGCCTACACTGAAGCAGAAAAACTCAGAATCGACTGACATATCTCAAAGTCTAGAAGAGCTTAACTTACTCGATCATAAGGCGAGAGATGAACAAATTTCTGTGCTAAAAGATTTTGAATACACCATCAGTTATAAGCCAAGCAAAGGGCCACGTCGTCGCAAGAGAATTATCAAATGAGGATATGGCGACTGTGGGAAGAAGTTCACAAGGACTTGGAACTTTATTGATCACGCCAGAATGCATCTTGGTGTGAAGCCATTTTCTTGCAGCCTATGTAGTGCTAGTTTTACCCAAAAGGGAAATCTTAAAACTCATATGGCCATGCATGAATAAACCTAATAATATCTAAAAATCTTACTCAAATAATCTTTATTGAAGATAGGGTCGCAAGGATTAGAGTTCTTGTAATAGCATCTCTACAGTTTCATTAATTACCCAAATAATATTTCTGTTCGGACCTTCAATCAAGGGTGCTTCAGTATATTTTCGGTCGTTCAAAATACGAATGCTATCGACCAATAACTGTTAAGGATCAACACATCCTGGTTTACCCAGAGCTTGTTGTTCAGATGTTTTACTCGAGATCTTTGACATTTAGTGACTAAACAAACAAAGAGGGAATGCTAAGATGATAATAAGCTAATAAAATTTCCCAAAAATTTGGCCAGAAAAATTCTTTTCTGAAGTCGACTAGCAACTGATTATCGCATTCTGATTTGTAAGAGAGTTCAATATTAGCTTTTGATCATGGGGTTTTGGGGTTTTGGGGTTTTGGGGTTTTGGGGTTTTGGGGTTTTGGGGTTTTGGGG